AACTTACCCTAAATGTAGCTCATCTCCTCTACTTCCAATCCGATTTTTTGTTACTTCAAAAATTCCTTACCCAGACAGTAAATTATATATTGTATTGTGTTTTATAAACTAACTTAGATCTTTGTTAGGAAAATAAACTAATTTTGTGTTAAACTGCTTAACATCTAGTTGATTTGTGTGTAGCTTAAGCTTCTAATGCCATATTTGTTTGTAAAGGTAAAAGTACATGCAGATATATACTAGAACAATAGTTGTCTGGAACGTAGGCCTGGTTGTCACTAGGCGTTATATACCTTTCATGGTTTTTCATTTTCAACTTACCAAAGCTTGGATCATCGTAGTCAGGAGGGGGAATTGGTGGCCATTGAGTTGGACTGGCAGGTAGTTGTCCACAATATGGCACATGTGGAGTTTGTTGCAGTGGAGGCAAATGGTACTGGGGATGTACAGCAGGGTAAGTTTGGTAACTGTTCATATAAGGTAATGGTTGCATTACAGGGCCCTACAAAGACAAAAACAAAAAACACTGAAGATAAGAAAATATTAGCATGTGAGAAATAATAAGAGAGTGAAATACAAGTAGGCAGTATCTGTTACGTTTATTGCCCAGGCAGTATCTGTTACGTTTATTGCCCGGCTTTTTATTCAGTATTCAAGAAAAAAAAACGGAACATAGAACTGTGTTTGGTTTGAATTTCACGCAAAGCCACACGAGGGCTATCTAATTTCGCAGTGATAAACTAGAGGAAAGGCAGCTAGTCAACAACACCCACCGCCAACTCTTGGGCTACTCTTTTACCAACGAATAGTGGAAATGACCATCACATTATAACGCTCCCACCGCTGAAAGGTCGAGTATGTTAGGCGACCGAGATTCCAACCTGTGGCCCTCAGATTGCGAGTCAAAGTGCCCTAACCACTTGTTGATTTGTAATAAAATTTCAAAACTCTTATAAAGTTGAAAATAATCCTATTAAGAAGCGTTTTTATTTGTCATTAACTTGGAAATTCTTGATAATTGAACAGCGTCGTTAAGAAGCGTAACTCGTGTTAACCTCGTGGATTGTCTGATTCGTCTTGAAGTATCGTTACTGATATGGGTCTGTGTTTTTACTAGTTCGTTGAAGTAGAACTAAAACGGGGGTTCATTTAGTAACGAAGCTTAAACAAAATACAAAAACACAAGGAATTTAACACACACACTCATTTCATCTCATCTTCAATCTTGTTGAAGAATAAGAACGCAGTGGGTTTATTTCCTCTATCAGGACGGATAGATAGATGGGTTTCAAAACGTGTTCTTTAAAATGGTTTAGTTGCAGATAAAATTTCATTTTCACTTATACGAGAAAGTCCATTTCCTGACAGTTTGTTTGTTATTAAGCACGGCGGTTTATCTGCCCACGACGGATATCAAAACCCAATATCTAGCGTTATAAACCCTCGGACTTTTCGCTGAGCAACTGGGCGACATTTTCTGACAATTGTTTTGTTTATCTATTTGTTGTTAAACACAAAGCTACGCAATGAATTATCTGTCCTGTGCCCACCGCAAGCATCGAAACCCAATGTTTAGCGCTGTAAGCCCTCCGACTTACCGCTGAGCCACTGGGGACATTATATAACGTTTTCTTCCTGTTAGAAATATGAAGAAAAACTATTTTACGTATAAAATAGGATACATATTAACACTGATAATTGATTACATATTAACACTGATAATTGTTTCATAGTGTTAACTGAGAAAGAAAAATAAAACGACGACAATAATAAGGAACATATTTCGAATGTTGTTAGATTAAGTGGATAGCTTGTGAATTGATTTAGTTCATATTTTCCGTTAAATTAGAACCTTTTTATCACACTTCTCTTATTACAATAACAGACTTTATTAGTCAGTCTATGAGAGTTGTTTGTAACTACCGTCTTCCACAGTTGTATATATTTGTTTGTTTGTTCAGAATTTCGCGCAAAACCACACAGAGAATATCTGCGCTCATAGCATTCCCTATTTCTAACAAGTAGATTAGAGATAAGGTGGCTAGTCAACAACACCCACCGCCTACTTTTGGACTGTTCTTGTGTTGTTGTT